TTTATAATACCTTAATAAGGCAATTTTAGAGGCAGCTAGTGGGCTTTGAAAAAAATAAACTTGATAATTCCTAGACCAACATATATGGTGAATTATTTTGAAATTTCACAATTTGATGCCTTTTACAATAACTTTTATCTACTAGAATGAAAACGAAATCTCTGGGTCATAATTATAAAAAATATGGAAAAAATATTATAATTTGGCGCTTTTTTAACAAATTCCCATTGGATCCAATAGTGAAATTTGACAACTTTTGAGATGGTCCCCTAAGAAATCGGGGTGGCTAGCATTCGATTTTTAAATCTTAAAACAATAGATATAACATTAAAAATAAATAATAAAAAAATATAAAAATCCGTAGGGCAGAAATAATTAGACTCGTCCTCATTAAAAGAAATTATTATGGAACTTTTAGCATCAGTTTTACATTTTCTTTCATGATACTATTTCCTAAAATTATACAATTTATATTCTAGCATCTACTTCTACGTACACGTATTTATGGCTTACATCTTCAACAAATATTACAATTAATCTATGATTGTTTTTTTGCAATTGTTAGTTAATTCAAACTTTAATCGATGTAAAAATATGTCGATTTTCTACTTTGAGCCAATAAAAGGTCGGATAATACCTGACGAAATATAACTTTACCTTTGCAAAGTCCTATCTCCTTATTTTACTTCACAACTTCAGCGGAATCTGGGTATTACTTGAAGGTCCCCTCTTACAAGTCTTTATATATGAATGGTAAAAGATAAACCCATGACAAATGGGGTTTACCATATGCGTTTTTCCGGTGCTTCAAGTAGGCACCTCTTTCCAAAGATATTTTTCTTGGCTTATAGTAAAAACTCTTGAAGTACTTATACCACTGTTTATTAAGGATAGTCTCCGATGTAATACTTGGAAAATAAAAAGGAAGTCACTTAGAATGACCAAAATAATTGAAATTATTTTTATAGATGTCACTGTATGAAATATAGTCCCTGCTTGTTTTCAAACAAAGGTAACATTTCTATTTTAAGAATTACAATTACTATACTAAAAGTAGGATTCCTATCATATTTATTGTGTTTAAAAATTAATGAAAATTTCATAGAAATCAAGAAGACAATATCACTAATTGATGGTATCAGTGAGATTAAATCTGACCATTTATAATAGAGGCAAGGTCAGGTCAGGATCATTAGCTGTTCCTCGTACATTAACAATAGAAAAATTATGTGGCCAACCATACAATCCCTACTTGCATTTCAAGAGACTGAATGTTTTTTTTGTTTTTTTTGCATAAAAAAATCCTATCATACAGGGCCATTATGGTGATATTACCAAACTGACATAAATAATTTATCTAAAATGGATATTGGCTAATCCTATTTTCTCTACTTTTATTAAATGTTTAGGATATATTTGTTTTTATGTGTTTCTTACATTAATATTTTATTTTATTTTCACATATGATACGATCATTGATAGTTCGTCCTTCGTTGTCGAAAATGACCATAATAATAGCTCGTCTGTTAAGTTTTGTTGTGAATGCGAAGATGGCTGATGAGTCCAATCTTCGCATGGAACGTCCTTCCACAAACTGGGCATGAAGGTCCTAAAGGAGTGTCAACAGAGGCTGCTCTCTTTTTACGCTTTGTGTGTTTTGCTCTTCCAGGTGCTTCATCTCCTTTTGGTACTGGTTTGCCCCCATCATCACGTTTGAGCGCCAGGCACAGCGATCGAGTGCTAGGTTTTCCCATTTTGTAGGTTCTATATGGAACAGCTTCATGGACACTTTAAGGGAATTTTTGTATCTTTCTTCCTGTCCACACCTGGAACGTGTACCATTTAATAACTCGCAATATAGACGCTGCTTGGGTATGCGCGAGTCGACCATTCTACGAACATGTCCAGCCCAACGGAATTGACTTGAGCGTAGCAGAGTATCGATGCTGTACATATTTGCCCGGTTTAGAACCTCTGTGTCCGGGATCCTGTCTTGCCATTTGATGCCCAATATTTTCTGGAGACAACCTGTATGGAAATGGTATAGGTTCCTGGTGTGTCTTTGGTACACCGTCCAGATCTCTCAAGCATAAAGTAAAGTTGTCATATAATATAATAAAGTTGTCATATAAAGATACAAAATGATACAAAAAAGTTTTGATTGTTTACTAAGAGAGAAAAAAAAAGTTTTAACGGATTTTGGCTCAAACCTGTACTTAGATTGAAAGCTTTTAAAAGCTAACATATGTCTAGTTTGTTTGAAAAATCATATTTGTTTGATATATTTTGAATGTTATGTCCCTTATTATCAAGTTACATTTGTTAATTTTTCAAGCATTTGATTGTGTAAAAATTATAACTAAATAAATTGTTCTTTAATAATCTGAGAGGCAGAAAAGATAATATTTTCATACGCCACCATTCCGTTAAAATATAGTCCCTGCTAATTTTCAAACAAAGGTAATATTTCTATTTTAAGTTGTACAATTGTGATGAGGAAAGATTAATATGGTCTTTTAAATGTCTTTCACCTAAATAAATTAGACATATAAACAACTATACATAGAATACCTAGTCAGAAACCAGAAAAAAATCCTACCTTAACACCCTTAAACGGCCTTATCATTTTCTCACAAAGAAATGATCGTAGATTCATTACAAAAATTAATCAAATGATTTATATAATGAATTTGTATGGTAAATGTACGGAAGAGATATTAAACATTTCACAAATACAGGGTACAACTCTGGACAGCTATTTATCTTATTTGATACACGTGTTTCCAAAAATATTCTATTTGTACACCTTATAGTGTAGGTTTAATAATCGTATTAAACACATAAAACGCTACAACTGTATTTTTGTATTTTGTAAGCTTTTTATGCTAAGAAATACACATGTATACCAACAGAATTTTTTTCTTGAAGATGTTGTCAAAAATTGGTTCTAATAAGAGAATTTATACAACAGAATTCCATGTCATTTAAATTTGCTCTAATTTTTTTTCTGTAAAATGACCTAAGAGTAGCCGTAAAAATCCTTGAAAATTATAATCCAGCTCTTTACTATTTCAAATCGCCATTTCCCCTTAAAAAGCCACATTCGATAATGTCAGTCAGATCTTGATTTGATTCAGCATACTCGAAAGGTAATAACATTTTAAGGTGCATAAATACAGATTTGAAGTTAAATTGTTCTCAAATCTCCTGTATAATATCACGACTTATATATTGCAATTGTATTTCACATGAAAATATACTAAAAATCTTGTTCCATCTATGTTATTGAAACTCAGATATTTGGACGGGTTTGATTGACACATCCTTGCACTTTCACAAATTTTAATTTTATTCTTAATATTTAGGAAATGTGGCAATATCGGTGTGTATTTATGAAAAAAATAACATTAAAACTACAGTCCAGAAAATTCAGAGTAGAAAGGTTCGAAGGTAAAACATACTCGCAGTATATTGTCAGTCCGTGAAGTTATGGTGAGCAGACTTTAACAATTGCATTGAGCACATCCCATTTAATCAAGCTCATGCCCTGTTTACAAAAAAACTGTGTACTTTTTAGGGGGGTGTTTAATTGGATAAACCGTATACACAACACTAAGCGCGGTATGACTATACTGGTGAAGGGATTTTGCTTTCGAACATTTGTACTTTGCATATAATTGTTATTCTGGATTAAAGATTTAATTTTTTCAATAAAACACAACAAGATTGCCACTTTTCCAAAGTATTAGTATTAAGAATAAAATTAAAATATGTAAAAGTGCAAAGATGTGTCAGTATTAAGAATAAAATTAAAAATTTTGAAAGTGCAAGGATGTGTCAATCAAACCCATCCAAAAATTTTTAGAAAAAGAACTTTTAGATTAAAAAAGATTTTATTAATTTATTTTGTGTGAAGTGCTATTACAATATATAAGTCGTGATATTATACAGAATATGTTAACTTCAAATCTGTGTCTATGCACGTTTAATAGACAAAATGGCGAATTTTGCTACTGTATAAACATAACACACGCTCATATTTGTTCAATTTAGATTAGACAAATTTCTTTCTTTTTTTATGTAAAAACTCACTAATGTCTGGAAAATTAATATTGCAAGAGGAAAATTAAGAAACTAAATAAAAAATTATATGAATCATCTTTTGTTGTTGTTGTTCAAGTAACACAAAATACATTATTAAATATATTACACAATCAATGCTTAAGACGACCTTTAAGAACTAAATAATTAGAAAAATATTTTTAAGGTGTCAATGTATTTTTATTTCAGAAGTGTTTATAGACAGATTTTTTTAAAGATAAACTTATCCTTTTATTCATAGGAAAACTTAAATCAATAGCTGAGGCGAATCTAATTTTGATTTGAACAGTCCATGGCATAAATATTCAGCACATTAAGTCCATACACATTTCTAAATCTCATGTTAATATCATGGTTGTATTAACTTCAAAATTTTAAAGAAAAACCTCCAAACTATAAAAGTGACAAGTCTTATATCAAAATTATTCTTTATTTTATTGAAAAGAGAACAGTGACATGGATTATACATCGATAGATAACTACAGCACCTGACCAAGGTGTGAACTTTATAAGTGACCCACGAGTTGCATTAATTTTGTCTGTTTTATTTTTATATTCAATTGCATGATACGATTGCAAATGGAGATCCCGAAGAAAATCATATAAGAAATCCCGGCCATTGACCTTTTTTTTTATAATCTACGTATGAGTATTACACCGGAGACGCTGTGATAAACGTTGTAAGTACTTCAAGAGCTTGTTTTTCCAAGTAGTAGAATATTTAATGAATCGAAAAAACCGCTTGGTGGTTATCCCCACCGGTGACAAAAATCATTTAACATTCCCTTATAGAGTATGTGGGCATATGTTGAATCGTTTTTCAGTATATTGTTGTAACTGGTAATCCTGATATTCACAAACAAAGTGTCAGATTTATTGTTCATTATCATACCTATATAAATTATTTGTATGCAGTGGTTAAAATACATGTAAGTAAAATAAAGATGAAAATAAAAGAAAAAAAAAATTAAATTGAAATAACAGGAGTCTAGGTATATTTATTTCCTCAATTTTTTAAATTAACTAAAAATAAAAGACACAAAAAATTAGTCTGTTGATTTCATTTTAACAAGAAAATAATCTTGCCATAGATTTAAATAAAAAGCATTTTAAGAATACTAACTTTTAAATACATGTATCATGGCATGTGTGCATTCCGAGTGACGGATAAACGAACTCTTACCAACATTGGGAGCCAATGGAGGAATTCACAAAATAACGAGCTTTAACAAAATTTAGTACATGTATTTTTGAATAATTCTCTACAACAAAACACTCTTAATTTCGCCTCAAATAACTGTAGCAGTTCAAACGTAATTTTAACAAGTACTTATTTATTTTAAGACCATTTTCCTCTACATATGTGTATATGTTTGTTCTGGGTGATTTCAGGATAATGTACATGTTCTTTAACTATAGCCGTATCAAAGGAATAAGGTATTATTCTAGCAGATATAACCCGCCTTTATAACAGCTAAGCTACATTCGTTTAAAATACCGATGTTTGAGTTAAATAACCTGATTTTGTATCTTGCAACAAACCTCAATTTCACTTATTCTTCAACAATGAGAATATTTCCTATTTTTAGCTCACCTGAGCCGAAGGCTCAAGTGAGCTTTTCTGATCAAAATTTGTCCATCGTCTGTGGTTGTCGTTGTCGTAAACTTTTCACAATTTCATCTTCTTCTCAAGAAAGACTGGGCCGATTTCAACCAAACTTGGCAAAAAGTATCCTTGGGTGAAGGGGATTCAAGTTTGTTAAAATGAAGGGCCACGCCCTTTTCCAAGGGGAGATAATCATAAATTTGTTAAAAATTAATGGCATTTTTAAAAAATCTTCTTCTCCAGAACGGATGGGCCAGGAAAGATGAAACTCATGTGGAAGCATCCTCAGGTAGTGTAGATTCAAGTTTGTTCAAATCATGACCCCCGGGGAAAGGCTGGGGCCAAAATGGCCGACCCTAGTTTTATATAGGAATATATAGGAAATTTTTTTAAAAATCTTCTTCTCAAGAACCACTGGGCCAGGAAAGATGAAACTCATGTAGAATCATCCTCAGGTAGTGTAGATTCAAGTTTGTTCAAATCATGACCCCCCCGGGGCAAGGGTGGGGCCAAAATGGCTGACCCAAGTTTTACATTGGAATATATAGGAAAAATCTTTAAAAATCTTCTTCTCCAGAACCACTGGGCCAGGAAAGATGAAACTCATGTGGAATCATCCTCAGGTAGTGTAGATTCAAGTTTGTTCAAATCATGACCTCCGAGGCAAGGGTGGGGCCAAAATGGCCGACCCAAATTTTACATAGGAATATATAGGAAAAATCTTTAAAAATCTTCTTTCCCAGAACCACTGGGCCAGGAAAGATGAAACTCATGTGGAATCATCCCCATGTAGTGTAGATTCAAGTTTGTTCAAATCATGACCCCCGTGGCTAGGGTGGGGCCAAAATGGCCGACCCAAGTTTTACATAGGGATATAAAGGGAAACCTTTTAAAATCTTCTTTTCAAGTACTTCAAAGCTATGATTAGTGATATTTATATGGAATCATCCTCAGGTAGTGTAGATTCTAGTTTGTTCAAATGATGAACGCCTGGAGGGGGGGGAGTAAATTCAGGCCCGATGTGCTCAGGTGAGCGTTGTGGCCCCTGGGCCTCTTGTTGTAATTGTCTTTGCAATGTGCTCAACATGTTTGATTATCTGACGTGAGTATTTGCTTCGGGCTTCACAGGATTTGATCACGTGACAAACTAAATTTCATTTCCCAGAGAGCGTTTTAACATTGTTGTTTATTTCTTAATTAGGGTGAATTCACTATGCATCGGACACCCTTGTACTTCAACAAGTTCTAGCGGTATCGCCACCGACGGAAAATTATCAAAATGGAGTTTAACATTTAGTTTCTCATTAAAATAATAATTTGGGACACAATTATATCCCCTTTATTGAGAAAATATCCTCAAAAATCGAGTTTTTAGGAATTACTGAAAATTCAGCATGGATCGAACATTGTTTACCATGCATCGGACAGACGGTATTTAGACCGGGAAAATATCATACCTTTATCACAGTGCTTTAAAATCGTTGATATGGAATCCGATACATTTTTTTCTTTTATCTAAGAAATAACCCTCAACTTAAATTTAATTGACGATATCGTTGCACAAATGTAGAATGATTCAAAAGACTTCACTCTGTCTTAAAAATGCTTTAAAATGCTTATAATGCGGTAATTCGCGCCTTTTTCTCGTGATTTATCATACTCTGGTTTGTAGAAATAAATTGAGTCAAATTCCAGACGTTATCTATAGATAACTTGTATTTTGACGGAAAATATAGAGTTTTGATTTTCTTTTTCCGCAAAAAACAGCTGTCAGCTGGGTTCTGTATGAAAATGGAAGTGCTTACCTTTGCATCGGAAAGTGTCCGATGCATGGTTAATTTGTGTCCGAAGTACGGAGAAAGAGACATACTAGTGAAAACCAGCTCTAAAAAGAATAATACGATCATTGAAGTGAAATTTCTTTAAAATTTATGTAAAATTACCAATCTTTGACTTTAACCACCAAGTCTGACTCGTTCCGTTGAAGTCAAATTTTAAGAACGATAACTGTAAAAATTGCAAAATCATAAATTTCTGGTGATTCCCCTTTGATGATGTAAAATATGACGTAACTTCAAGGCCATTCTCGGGGTATTTTTATCACAATATGATAATAACAATCGGTATCATTAAAAAAATTTAATCTTCAGCTTCAAGACAGAAACAAATAAATACAGGGAACTCTTAAGCTGAAAGAGAGTTTATAGTCTAAAGTTGTCCGAAGCAAGGTATATGTCCAATGCATGGTGAATTCACCCTACATACTTAGTACCGACAATATATTATTGCAAGTGCATATTATGACATCATATTATGACGTCATAGTTATTTCCCATTAAAGGTTATAAAACATATCAAGAAAACAACGTCGGCGCAAGGGCATATCCTATCTAATTTAAAATAAATAATGTATAATTCTAAGGAGAATATTCTTAAAAGTAATAAAATTGCTGCACAAATCCTAGGCTCTTCTTCAAACGATAGAAATTTTACTAAACTTGCTCTGGGATGTGCATTTTTACCCTGTTTCAACTTGGTACTGTACGAATATTAACTTAGAAATTGCAGTGTTGACATTTGTGCAGCAATATCTTAAACCCTTGGATTATTCTGCCTCTTTTTATA